ACCCTTCTTTTCTTTTCCTAAAGCTGCCTTAGTATCCCCCCTTTCTTTGCTTTCTCACCATGCCATCTCCAAACTCTTTTCACGTTAATCCCAAAACTACCCTTCTCAAAAGGTGACACCCCATGCAAATTCCATGTCCTAGTTGGTAACTTTACCCGGGAATGTTGACTCATCGAAACGTGGCAAAAGTAGAATAGGTGTCAGAAGATGAGTGGTGGTGATTTTATGCTAGGCAGTAGGGAGGCAAAGGTAATCAAAGAGAAGGCTCTCAAAATTGGTCCCCTTACACACTCAAAAATCCCTCTCTATTTTTTTATTATTATTATTATTTTTCAATTTTTTATGTATATGTAATAGAGAGCGTATTGATCAATGATATTTTGTGTTCCTGTTTGACAGCGGATCTTACGGGGATCCGTGCAGGAGGAACACACGTGTGCATGCGCGACAGGTCTGAGACATGTTGGCCCAGCCCATCACGTGCGGTGAAGAACCATATTTAAAAAAAAAAAAAAATCCAAATCCAGAATCCAAAATCCTACAAGTGTGTGTGAACCAGTTCTATTCTAGCACGCTTGGATGGCAGTGTGTTGTTAAGCTCATGGAAAAGTTGGGTCCACTTTTCTTTCTTTCTTTCTTTCTTTCTTCTTTTCTCTTCTTCTTCCTCTTTTTATCAGAATTAAACAAAATTTGAAATGTTGATCAAGCTAGCTAAAGGAAACATTTATGATAAGATAAAACACCACAATCTTTTCAAAGTTTTAGTTACATAATAGTGCTGGGTCTTATCTCGCAAATTATTGAACCAGACACGTTTTGCATGGAATGAATGAAAAGTTGTTTTTTTTTATTTTTATAATAATTCGTGTGGATGGGAAAGAATGTATATATAGTCAAATGACAACCAATAATATTAAGGGCAAAGCTGCTTCTTGCCCATTTTTCCTCTCTTATTTAATATACATATATTAATGAAGAAGAAAATGAATAAGCATTAGCAGACATATATAGTTGAATATAAAGATCTCAAATATTCTGAGGCTCTAGTTTTTCAATATTTCTTTGGGATAAACAGCTCTATAGACCCAATATGCACCCTTCTACAAGGACATTGCGAGCCATTGATCAAACCCATTTGTGGAACAGACTCGAACCCAAAGCAGGATTTGGTCCTACAAAGTAATATTACCCACATATTAAGCTACACATAAACTGGCTTTTGCGAAATGGATACGTGCCAGTAACTTCTGCATGGTGGGTGAGTGACATTCCCAGCCTAGGCCTGCCCACTAGTGCCTTAGCAAAGACTTGTCTTTTGCTTACAGAATTGTTCTTATTAGTTTATTTATGGGACGCTTCCAACTGGGTCGTCCATATTCAACTATATCGTGTTCCAACAAAAGAAAGGAGATAAAAATAAATAAATAAAGAAAAACCCTCCTTTTTTTTCGCTTGTCAATTCAGTGAAATAGCAATTTCGTTTGGAAAGAGAATAGATATATATTTCACAATACACAAACACACACATATATCTGTCAGTGCTTTGCATGGTTATATTTAACTCTTGTCTACCACTAGGAGATGCATGCTTGAGAGCTTACGTCCCACATGGTAATTAACAAAATTAAACAGTAAGTCCTTTGTGTTTTAATTATATGCATGCTTCTAGTTCTATACATTTATATGTATCACGCAGTGTATACCCTATAATGAAAACAAATATATAAACAAAAAGAACGTAAATATATCTATAGTACTATATGGACAGGCACTAATCAACTTCGTTTTCACAAGAGTTGGCAGTGCAAATTAAGAACCAAACACATGAACAAAATCTCGTGATTAAGGAGAAGATTAAGGTCATGATTAGAGTTTATGTTAAAACCAGAAATAGTCAAACCCTTGGATGGGTTGGTGTGGTCTCGCACACCCACTATCCCTCTATTGGCATCATTAATGTTGTCAACTTCTCCCCACTTCACCAACCATATGAAGATATGGGTATATACATTTTTTTCCCCTTATTAAAGAAGGATTGGTTCTTTTGCATATATGTATATGACAGACTTTAAATCTTGAATGACAGATGTAATTTTCAATCGAATAATTTTTTGGTGTGTGGCATTCTTTTCTTGACTAATGAAGTTTTTTTTACAATATATAATAATACCATGGTCCCATTGCTGGTTTTATTATGTATGTATAGGCATTTTGAGTCTATAATACTTTTGACTATATAGGCTAGCCTTTTCTTTTCCTACAGTCCAAGATTCTTCAAAAAAAAAAAATTTACCCATTAAACAATTTAGTTAGGAATATGGGTTATGATAATTTAATTAGCATATCACACTGTTATGATTTAGTGGTCCTCCTAAGTACTCTCTCTCCAAGATATGACATTTTTCAGGAATAGTTGGAATGACAGAAAAAGGATATGTATTATATGTATTAAAAAACTTAGCTCTGCTTCAAAATCATTATCGAATTACAAAAAATCAGATTTACTATGGTTTTAGCTGCGCAGTAATTACAAGTATATAATACGCCACAATATTTCTACACAAGTGCATGTTTAAGCAGTAAAAAGACATACATACATATATATGTGAGATTTTTATGACACGGTTATGTTTTGAACAGTCATATTAATTTATAATGTGTTTTGTCATGAATTTGGTACTTCTCCTTTCTGATATGATTTTGACTAAATCTAACATTCAATTGAAAGCTCTATATTTGTGTGCATGCATGGCAGGACCCGTTGGCGTGTAATTTGCAGTTTGCATATAATGTGATTCAACATTAAATCTATTAAATAGAAATACGGGAGCACAAAATTTATAAAATATCATTTTCAAGTATACGTATACATTATATATTCAGAAACATCAAGTGTTTAAATTTAATTTTGCTCTAGAACTCTAGAGCACGAAAGCAAGTGAAATGACGGGCAAAACTAAGTGATCATATTATTATGTGAAGGCTTGAGTTATAATCGTTAATTAGGTTAATGTAAAAGAAAAACAATTAATTATCTTTCTGGTTTTGATATTCAAAAAACTTTGAGTTGTTCTATATTTTCTGGCCACCATATTCTCAAGAACCAAATGATTAGAGCTCCCAAAGCATTATCAATTGTGTTTGCAAATTTAATTCAAAGGGGAAGTTGTGACTCCCTATAAAGTTGTGTTTCTCAGAACTTTTTTCCTCACAACGACTGATTCTTCAAGTGAGCTACCAGATATTTTAAGCATAAATTTGTTCCAAAAGCGCCCCAAGTGCACTGTTAAAAAAAGTAAGTGTCTTTTTGACATTTGCATTTTGATCACATGACTCCAAAGTTGTAAACGCCAATCATGGAGACCCTAACAACTATCGAAAGAAAACAAAAAAAAAGTACAACAAATAAAAATTTGGAATATGATATGAATGATCGAATTTTGGCCTTCAAAAACTCAAAATACTTTGAGGAAGAGGCCTACCTAGCTAAGGCCTAATTAAATGATGATGATAATATATATATATATATATATATGTGTGTGTGTGTATAGAAGAGAAACTTGCAAACTTCCATGTGTAAATCCAATACCCAATGTGATCGTGGCTTTTTATTAATCCGAAAGACAAGGAGTACTAAAAAGAAAAAGTTTCAAGAGAATATTAACCGCAACTTGGCTTTACACTGATCACTAATTGTTTCTTTGAAAATGAAGTTTACGGTAAGATAATTTATTTATACGTAAAAAGGAAATATTGTTAAATATTTTCAAAATACTTTTTGAGCCATTCTCTTAGCTTAGAAGCCAACCAAATTTGACATCAAAGGCCTAGAGGATCAAAGATTAGATCCTTTTGTCTACAGCTTTGGGGACCATGAATCTATCACTCTCTTATCTTTCCATTAACCTCTTCAATTAACCTACTTTTACCATCCGGAGAATTCTGTCGCCACCGGAAAATTAAGTTGTGCCCAATCGGATGACGATTTTGATCAATATTTAATAATAAAAATTATGTATACAAAAAAAAAAAAAAAAAAAAAAAAAACAGCCACCAAGTGATGTTAACAATAACCACTTTTTTTAGGTTAATTATTGTTAACCTCTCTAAGATTAGATCCTTTTGTCTATAGCTTTGGGGACCATGAATCTATCACCCCCTATCTTTCCATTAACCTCATCAATTAACCTCCTTTTACAGCCCGGAGAATTCCGCCGCCACCGGAAAATTAGGTTATGCCCAATTGGATAACGATATTTGATCAATATTTAATAATAAAATAAAAGAAAAACAGCCACCAAGTGATAATAAACAATAACCACTTGTTTTTTGGGTTAATTATTGTTAATCTCTCTTGTAACTATACAGTAAGTTGATCAAGGAAGATGGTGTTATAGGGAAGCAAGGGAGGACCCACGTGTTATGTGAAGAAAAGTTAAAGCTGTCTATAATCTCTGTTGCAATGAATGAGAGTGTAGAAAATATGCCTTTGCTTTTAACCTCACCATTGATCATCTTCTTACAATCTTTTTTTAACTTTATTCCACTTAGTACTGTCTGATAACGCAATCCCAGAATAATCTCTCTCTCTCTCTCTCGTTTTAGCTATTCTTATTCTAAACAAGAAGAATATTTCACAGATATATATAATAATCTCTCATTTTTGCTCCAACATCTTTTATCTTCAACAACTGAACGGTCTATTCTACACTATTCTTTACTTCTCTTCACCACACAAATAAATAAATAAATAAAGAGTAAATTTTGTAACAGAGGCAAACTTCATTATCACAAAAAAAAAAAAAAAAAAAAAAAAAAAAAAAAACCTTTCCTTGATCAGAGAGGTAAGAAGTAGATTAGTCATCAATCATAGCATACAAAAAAGAGAAATATTATTCTCTAAATTGTAAAAACCCCCCACACCATTACTTCAAAAAAAAAAAAAAAAAAAAAAAAAGAGCTAATTATAAAATGATTAAAGTTTATACCATTTTCCCCCTTTTTTTCCCTTTCTTTTTTTTTTTTTTTTTTGGGAATTACAAAATCAAACCATTTGCAATGGCTCGATTGGTATCGAAATGTGTCGTTTCATAAACAGGCAATTCTTCTCTATACCGTTCAATCCCAATCGCTGAGAGATTATCCAATTCAAACAGATCAGAGCTCGAATAACTCGCAGCGTCGTCGTCGTCTTCTTCGTTGTCATGATCAAACGCACTGTCGTCGCAACGAACGACGTCTCTCATGTCGAACTCATCAACGACATTGTTTCTGTTGTCGTTTACGTTCTTCTTCTGGTAATTCTTCAATAGGTCCATCGCCACCTCCTGGACTCGTCGCCGATCGTCGACGGAATCTCTCACGGCGGTCAACGCCATTAGAGCCGGCTCGCGATCCTCATGCAGGCTTTTATGGCCGCACGGACGGCAATCCTCGTCGACGATGACGCTCACTGGGCAAAACCTGACCGACCTCTTCGTGCTGTTGTCGCTGAACTTCCCTCGCGACGACGGAGTATTGCTCAGGCAAGACCTCGAGAACGACGACGCCGAAGAGCACGTCGACGCGTTCGTCGACTTCGATTTCCTCTGCGGCTTGCTCAGGTCCTCGATCTTCGCCTTCTTCGCGTTCCCGGCGGTGAAGAGCGAGTTCAGGAAGCTCGCGAGGCGGCCGCCGGGGGAGATTGGCTGCTTCACTTTCTTTAAATCTCCGTAGATCTTCAACGCTTTTGATTTTGTCTTCACGAAGCCGCTCTCGTGCTTGCTGCTAGTTTTTTGGTGCTTGTTCGGAGCGGAATTGTACTGGTAGCGAGAGTACCCGTCGAATTTGGGCGTTTCCGACGTAGTAATCTTCTCCGGGGCAGATACGCTCGTCCGAATCGGCTTCGGCATCTGCAAAGACTCCGACTCCGACGACGAGAATCCTCCCCCGGAGCTCGACTCCGACGAGCTCGAGCTCGAATTCAGCAGCGCGATTCCTCGGTTGTGGCGCGATTTTCTGTCGTAATCCGCAACAGAGCTACGACGAACGACGACCTTCTCGCTCACCTTCTTCTCCATCCACTTCTCGATCATGCAAGCTCGCCGGAAATTAACCATTTTCTCCTCCTCCTTGAGACCGGAACTGCTCTGCTTTTTCCTCATTGTCTCTCTGTAGAATATCACCTCTCCTTCCGCCGCGGAAACGGAATTCGCTTCACCACCACCACCGTTGCCGTCGTCGATCGACCGATATATCGCGTCGAGAAGAGTCGAAGAGAACGAAGGATTGTCTCTTCGGTGACAATGCCGATTATCTTGTCGTATGGACGTGTCCCATTTATCCATAATATTCTCCTTTTATAGTACAAAATACAAAGAAGAGAAATTCAGTTGAACAAAGAAACAAACAGAAACAGTGGCACTGGGAATGTTCAAATGATGCGCAATTATGTGTCTGCTTCAGAGAGTGTCAAAAGCTGATAAATATAGAAAGAGAGAGAGAGAGAGAATTTTGGATTTGTGTCGTTTTTGTGTTTTGATGATGGGGAAGGGCCAAAGATTGATTATAATTATTATGTGAAAGGAAAGACAAGTTCAAGACAGATGGAAAGAGAGATATAGAGAGAGTCCCAAATCACTTCTCTCTCTCTCTCTCTTTTTTTTTTTTTTCTTTTTTATGCTCTCACTGTTCGAGAACAAATTAGAAGATAGAAAGAAACAAAGCAGACATGCGCTTTGATGAGTGCTTGATGGCTTTTACAGAGAGGAGAGAGAGAGAGAGAGGAGAGAGAGAGTTAAGTAATCAAAGCCAGAGACCACGCCTGAGAGAGATCAGAGAAGATGATTGAGAGAGAGAGAGAGAGAAACTCTTATTTGTGTGCCTCTCTTTTTTCACACACTTTATAAGGGAATTGGCAAGCGCGTGCATGCAAATTCCAAGCTGGAGTCTCTGACAGCTGGCAGGTGACGTGGCTCTCTGCTGATTTCTTTAGAAATAGGAATGCTTTTTCTGCTCATAATAATTCTTTTCATTATTGAATTGAGGAATTAACAATATTCTTCTTCTGTGTTCTACACACACTTTGCAGTTTGCCTCATGAACTGACATAAGATCCTTGCTTTTACAGTGTTTTTTTTTTTTTTTTTTAAGAATAAAAATTTAAAGATGGAAGATTTATTAATGTGTAGGACCAATATTGATCTTAACAACTCAAACCGATATGGATTAGAGTCTACATTATTATTATTATTATTATAGGATTTCTCTTTCCTTTCTTCTCTTTTTCCCTGCATTTTCTATTGGGTATTAGCAGGCGAAAATTTTGGCTCACCCTTTTACTTTAGGCACACCCAATATTGATCATCTGGGTCCTATGGTTGGTCCATATATCTTTTTTCTTTTTTTCTCTCCTTTTTTTTTTCTATATATATGCGTGTATATATAACTTCTATATTCTATATCAACACAAATAATTAAGCTGTAGTAATCCTAGATTTACTTATTTACTTCAAGTATAGTACTTTCCAAACGTTTGTAATTTTTTATTCTTTTTTTAGGGTATCCAAAAGTTGTAGTTACAAAAGGAACATATATAGATTATACATAAACTCTCATTAAGGTAAATTTAGCTTTGAAAACTGTGGAAGTTCCAACTTTAGAGAATAAGTGGGAAACATCCATATGAGAACTACTGTTGTGAAGGGAACACCACTAAGTCTGTTGTTAAACTGTATCATTAATATGAGCAGTATGATTGCTCAAAGCTGTTTTGCCTAGATATAGCTTTGCACAGTCAACTTCTGCGGCTCAATATGAATTCAAATCCCACATACATACTTAGCCGTATGAAACCTTTACATATAATGCTAAGTATGTAACCTTCACATATAATATATATATATATATATATATTCACTTGTCAAGAATGTGGTCAATAATTCAAAAGATAAAATGATATATATATATATAGGACAAACAGGTAGTTTGGCATATCCAAGTCGTTGAAATACAAAATTTGAATTATTAACCATGACGTTATTTTATTTTAGATGGTCGGAAAAACGCCAAGCAATCTACGATAATTTATTGTGTCCAAAGATGATTGGCATATCCTCTTACAATAATCACAAGATATCAGTCCCTTTACAATGGCAAATGAGCAAATATAATTATGCAGCAGATTTGGTAAACATTGCCTTGACTTTGCTAGTAGAAAAAATAAATAAATATAATCCCACCCAATAGAATAATATAATCTTACAGATATTAAATTAGTCGGTATATCCCCTTTTATTTACGTTCTTGCAATCAATTTTACCTTTGCTTTACTTAATTTATTATTCGTTTTTTTTTTACTTTTTTTTCTCAATGTGTTTGTTTTTAACTTTAGCTCTTATGGTGGGCACTCCAAGCTTTTAGGTGTATATCTTACTGATTGTTTCCAACAGTTTGATTACAGTGAATCCAAATAATTTACCGACAAGATAATTACGCAGTCCTTGTTGTGATCATATAGCAGTCTTTTGGATTTCCACATAACCCCCCATAGGACCAACTTTGTAATTTATAGATAACTCACAAAAGTGTGTTTTACTATTTATACATATCCTCATGGACTTAAAGGGTTTTTTTGGTTGGAGGAAAAAGTGAAAAGAGGAAGAGGGGTGAGGAGAGTCGTGGACGGATTTTGGTACTCGGGGCGATTTCGTGAGAGAGAAAATAGATTAGGTGAGAGATTTTAAATCTTTAAAAATACCCTAATTACAATTCAAGTCCATTCAAATATAGAGAGATTAAAAGAGAGAATCCATACTAAACATTTTAATAGGAAAAAGGTATTTTTCTCATTAAATTATATGTCTTGCTTTTGCTTCCCATTTTCTTTCAAAGATTTTTATAAGAAAATCTAATGAATATCTTAAAATTATCAAAATATACTTACTCACAACATACATATAAGGATCTGAATGCAGAAAATAAAGATCTAGAGTAGACAATGTATACTGAGTATTTTGTGTATAATGTATCAATGTACATGCATGATTTTATAGAGACAGTATCTATATGATTATGCTAATATATACGGATCATCTATACCAGTTTCTTTTGTTTCTTTAACAAGATTCAAAGAGTACCTATCATCTTAATCCCACTCTGTACTCAAGGCTGGCAAATATGATCTTTTCTCTTTGTTCTCATTCTATTTGAGATGCATAATAAGATGAGCATTAATTTTATAATAATGATATCTCAATTTGGACAAAAAAATAAAAATAATAATAATCATCAATTGCGTCTGCAATATCTTGGTTTGTTAGGATGACAAAGCATTAATTAATTTTTGGATAGATATATTACACATTTCCTAATTCTCTTCCTGATTGATCAGCTGTCAAATCTTCAACATAGAAGTCGTTTTATTTTGAGAGAGAGAGAGAGAGAGAGAGAGATTAAGCATGTTCTTAGTGGGTAGAGTTTATTTGCACAATGATTGCACTCGTGGCTCCTAAGCTTTTCTGGTGAGAGAGAGATATATATAGATATAGATGGATCTAAGACTTAATTGAATAGCAAAGTAATACATATCTAAATGTGATTATTTAACTAATCTATAAGAGGATTAGGACAAGGGAATTCATGTGTGTACACAATAGGGAAAAAAGTAAGACTATAAGCTAATTAATTAATACACAGTCTAAAGAAAAAGCCTCCCAAAAAAGCCAAAAGCAACGTGCGTGTGCCTTGCTCTCCTTCTCTTCATTAATTCCCCTTTTCCTCACATGTACTCTTCTCATCTATCTCTCTCTCTCTCTCTCTCTCTCTCCCTCTACCTTACCTTCAAACTAAAGAAAAATTCCCCATTATCATATTCTAATAATCTATTAACAAACAATATATACGAAGCCTAAACTAACTTTACCCAAATTAATTATTCCTTGTACAATAAATATGACTTTTGATATATGTATAAATATATTATATATCATAATTAACCTTCAACCATGCAATCACACATGATACACGTACCCATATTTTCCAAGTTCATTGCAAAATGTCACCATTAGCCGTTCATTGGGTTTAGCACTAATAGATCATCAAAGACACATAAATTAAAGGGAGAATTTCACGGTTTGAAACTCACCCCGGCTTATGTTTAAAACTGTATTAGATCGTATCATGTTCTGTTAATTTTACACATTTTTTATTTTGATGTGATTTTAACACGACGTAACGTTTAAAAATATACACCACCGGTGGAGACGTGTCCAGAGCAGAGGCTCTAAATTAAAGACACGCGTGAAGGAAAACTTACAAATTAGCTAGCTAGCTACTAGTTGGAGTAGGAAAAGCTCGTGAAAGTGGCATAGTGTTCGGTATATTCGTAATGCTCTCAAAAAGTTACATGAAAACCTATACTCCTACAATGATTTATAAGTATAACATAGAGTTAGGCTCGTGAAAGAGGGTGGTCGAGAGATTCTTTCTAGATCGTGGTGTTGATGTGGGAAACATATGCATGGAAGAAGGAAGATTCCATTCAGATCACTATGGAATTAATGACAAACTTGGGGACCCAAAATTTCCAACACAATTCAAACATTGACATGCCCAAACCAAGCAAAAGTTCTTTAGCGCAGACACATATTTCCATCACCCATCGTCCCCATCTAAAGAATCTTTCAACAAAATATTCCTTCATTGACGTATAAATAGAGCCTCCACTAATTCTACCATATGTACCCTTCCAATTAGGTATGCACGGCATGTATCAACATATGGTATAAGTAGCTTGATAGCTATTTTGGTTTAGAGGACAAAAATTAGTTAAGCTTTTCCGTTAAAAATTTAAAATACTTTATGGCGTCTACTGCGTTTGGTTGATAGATTCGTACCATAATTTGAATCATAGTTTGTGATTCGCTATAATATTTTCTCGCACAAAAAACACACATAAACCGAGAATGATTTTGAATCATGGTTCTGAATCCATGAACCAAACATCCACAATTCAACTTTATAAATCATATATATATTTGCTAATGTCACACTAGCTTGTAGGGGGGAAAAAAAAAACAAGTGGATGGCAAATTATAACGTTAAGGATATGCACGAAACCGTCAAAGCAATTTAAAGGTCGTTTCAACTTTTGTTTTTTGTATGATAGCGGCATATAAATAGATTTTTGTCCCTACGCACAAAAAAAAAACAAAATAGAAGGTTATATTTTGTATTATGGCCGTAAAGGAATTCACACTCAGCCTCCTATGGTATCAAAATTTCTTGATTTTGATCATTTGATAATTGTACTAAAAACACTAACAACATAGTCTTCTCCAATTTGTGGGGCATATGGATTATGGTGGCTTCCACAAGGGATGGAATAATTCACATCAATCGACCCTTGTTTTCTTCTTCTTCTTCTTCTTCTTTTCTTCCATATTTCTTTCTCTGTGTTTTCCTTTTTATTTGTGCGTGTGTTAATTATTTCCTTCTGATATTTTTTTTCCCATAATTATTTTTAGAATCATATATCTATCTTATTGACTCCACTTTAATTAATTAAATGTCACACCACCCACCATCCTTAGCCGGCCATGCATACTTGCAAAAGACACATGTAATGGTAGAAATTGAGGTCCAATATTAGCAGCTATCAATTCCATCCATCATGCATTTTTCTCGTGGTTTTCAATTGTAGGCCTTACCAAAAACTTAGCTTTAATTGAGACCCCTAGCTAGAATATTGCTTTTACCCCGTGTTAATAATACTATTGCAAGCAAATCCAATGCCACCATA